GAAAACTCAAAGAGTACGAAGAAAGGGGAAGAAGATGACGCTTCGACAATTCGAAAGACGCAGAGTTATGAGAGTGAGGAAGGAAAAACTAATAGAATAGTTTTTGGTGTGTTTTAGAATGAAACATGTGCACTCCTTATATAGGGAAGTAAGGTAGTTAATATTCTCACATGAGCAATGTGGGACTAAATGGTTATTTTTCAACCAAAAAGATATTCTAACAATGTGGGACTTGAGAAATTTTTAAATTCAACATATTGGAACATGGACATGTTCCAACAATCCCCCACTTGAATTTAAAAAATTGATTTTAGAAGTAACGTCAAACGTTTCTAAGATTGTGCATAAACAAAGGTGTCTACGACTTGAACCTTTGCATAGCAAGTAGGATTCCAATTTAACAAGAGTGACACAAATGTCTTGAACTCTATCTCAGACATCAAACCCGCACACAACCTTTTCTTAAAGTGTATTCTAATAGTGCATGCTTTAATGGCCCTGTACGTGTATCCCAGTCTAATGAAGGCTCTAGGAATGCTGCCTCGAAATTCCATAGGAACCGACCTAAGTTCCACAATCACATAGGTGAGTCTATCAATAGTACTCCTGTAGCCTAGGTACTCCCTCATACAGAGTATAGATCTCATTAAGAGTTTCTATTATCTCATCCTCTTATTACTTTAGGATTCATGCTTTACTTGCATGATCATCTCATATTACTCATAACATGTTGTTACCCATTGAACCTATTTCTTGGGATCTCCAATCATTTAGGTCGGGTTACCATCACAAGCAAGTCATTTTCCTATAGGCATTAGTCATATCTTATATGATATATTTTAGACTTTCTCTCTATCTAATCCTTTTGTAAAAGGATCTGCTAAATTTTCACCAGTGCATACATGATTCACTCTTACAACTCCTTTAGAGATACAATCTCTAACAGTGTTGTGCTTTCTTCTAATTTGACATCTTTTACCATTATAATAACGATTCTCGATTTTTGCAATAGCCGCACTATCACAGTGGATCAACACAACTGACTTATGTTTTTCCCATAAGGGAATCTCAGTTAGCAAGCATCTTAACCAACTTGCTTCTTCACTAGCAGACGCTAATGCTATATTCTCAGGATAATATGTTTCTTTGATTTCCAAGATACAACTCCTCTAGCTATGTTGAATACATAGCCACTAGTTACTTTGGAATCATCTGATAAGGTATTCCAATCTGCATCATTTTATCCTTCAAGTACAACAGGAAATCTCTGATAATGTAAACCGAGATTCATGGTCCTTTTAAGGTACCATATGACTCGCTCTATAGCTTGTCAATGTTCATTACTCAGTATACTAGTAAATCCACACAACAATCCCATGACATATGCAATGGCGGGTTTGGTACAATCAATGGAATACCTAAGACTTCCAATGATGCTCGCATATTCTGTTTGTCTAACACTTTCAGCAGTGTTCTTAAACAGCTTCACCCTTGGATCATTTGGTGTGCTCAGAGGTTTACTGTCAAAGTAATAATATTTCTTTAAGATATTTTTCACATATTGTGATTGATCCAAAGAAATTCCTTGCTTGGATATCGTGATCTTGATTCCAAGAATCACACTCGTTTCTCTGAGATCTTTCATATCAAAGTTGTTGCACAATAATGATTTCATATCATTAATGGATTGAATATTTGATCCAAAAATGAGTAGATCGTCTACATATAGACATATGATAGTGCAAATGCATTTCTAAAATTTGTAATAAACGTATTTGTCACTTTCATTCACTTTGTACCCATTCAATATCATTAAGTTATCAAACTTTACATGCCATTGCTTTGGAGCTTGTTTTAGCCCATACAAAGACTTATCTAACTTACAGACCTTGTTTTCTTGTCCATGGATCACAAATCCTTCAGGTAGTTCCATATAGATTTCTTCTTCTAAGTCACCATTTAAAAAAGTTATTTTAACATCCATTTGGTGTACTATTAAGTTATAAATAGCAGCTATTGAAATAAGTACCTTAATGGATGTAATTCTAGTGACAGGAGAAAATGTGTCGAAGAAATATATATTTTCTCTTTGTCTAAAACCCTTAGAAACAAGGCGAGCCTTGTATTTATCAATAGTTTCATCTGGTTTTAGTTTCTTTTTCAAAACCCATTTACAACCGATTGGTTTGCAACCAGGAGGCAAGTCTACTAAGTGCCAGGTCTTATTAGATTATAGAGATTCTATCTCATCATTGATAGCTTCTTTCCATAAATTAGCATTTAGAGATGACAAGGCTTCTTGAAGATTCATTGGATCTTCTTCTACATTATAAGCCGCATAATCAGGCCAATAGTCTTTAGCAACTCTTACTCGTTTACTTTGTCGAAGTTATGTTTCTACATTGTCGTTGCTTTATGTGCTTCTTATCACAGGAATGTGACTCAGGTGTGTGCCCCCACTATTTCTCAATTTGAAAGGAAATTTGTCTTCATAGAATTCAACATCATTTGATTCTATGATCACTTTTTCCTTTAGGTCATAAAACCTATATGCTTTACTGTTTGCTGCATACCCAATAAAAACACATTCATATGCTCTACTAGCGAGTTTAACTCATTTCGAATCTGGAATTCTGACATAAGCCAGACAACCCCAAGTTCTCAAATAAGACAAGTTTGGTTGTTTTTTATTTAATATATCACATGGAGAGATCTTACATTTTGACTTGGAGACTCTATTCAGGACATATCAAACAGTCAATAAAATTTCCCCCCACCAGTGAGGTGCAGCACCAGAATTCATCATAATGGCAACAACAAATCCAGTAAGAGTTCTATTCTTTCTTTCTGCTTTACCATTCATTGCAAGATAATATGGTGCAGTCGTTTCATGTACAATTCAATGTATAAAATTCATTAATAAACTAGAATCATGCAGTTTCTCTATCACTATAAATTCTTATTATATCATTTTCAAATTCTTTATAAAAAATTTAAACATACAAACGTAACCACGTTCTTTAAGATTAAAGTCTTTTTGAAGGTGAAATTTAGCTCCATGTCTACAATTCCAGCAACATTCGTGGTCTAGCCATCTCCCAACAACACTTTCTTATCTTTAGTATTCGTGTATGTTTTAAACATAACACGATCATAACAGACACAACGAGAGACGCAAGTGTCTATCCACCAACCAACATATCCATCAACCATGTTGATTTCAATTACTATAGCAATAAATTGCCCATTAGTCAGGTTGACTTTGCATTAGGGACAACACCAAGTTCAAGCTTACTTCTACATTTCTTAGTCATATGACTTGATTTTCCATAGTTAAAATAAAGGGAAACCAACGTCATTTCTTTTAGGTGGTGGTTGTTGCCTAGTTGGAACTATTGGGATCATATAAGGGTTTCCATTCTTAATTTGGTTTACAATATTGCGGTTCTGATTCTTTAATCAATTACCAAATGACTTCAGAACTTCACCAAATTTCTTTTTGTTGTTTGAGACAACCAATACTTTTTCTTTTTGATATTGTCTCTAAGATTCCTTTTTTTTAACAGTCAAACTATGGGGTAATTTGTCAATAATAAAACCAATTTGAAATTGTTCATTTAAACACATACCTTTTGTGATAATCCTTTAAGAAATCTTTTGAAGTTCGTAACATTGAGCCTCCATCGACCTTACATCTTTGCATTTGATACTTGAAGTAACGGCTAACAACATACTTCTTTGCTTCAGCTTCTACGTCATACTTCTTTTTCTGAGTCTCTCAATCTTGTTTTGCAGTATCACATCAACTGTAATTATCATACAGATCACCAGCGAGTCTATTCAAAATATGATTATATAGAGATTTTCATTCTCTTTCTCTAAGGTGATTTCTTTCCTATGCTGAAAATCGTTCGCTTTAATCTGTGCAGCAGATTCAACTTTAACACTATTGAGTGATCCTTCTAAATCACCAGATTTACTACCATTAGTTTGTTCAATTGATCCAGAAGGAGCAACAGAATGTCATCGATCAGAACGTTAGCAACTTTTTTTCAACATTAAGAACTTCATCTTTTGTTGTCAACGTTTGAAGTGACTTTCCTCAAACATGAACGATTTCTCAAAGACAATATCCACTAAAGAATCAATAATTTCTTCGGTAGCCATGACAGTTTGAAACATCTTAAAATTGTTGTTTTCGAATTTTGAAATGTTTTTCACCGAAGAAATTATCAGGTTGAGTCGTGGACTAGTTCGTTCTCTTTAAGACGTTTCGTGGCACTGCTCAAAATTATGCAAAACAGTCGAACTACTACGCTGTCTCTAGGATAAAATAGCCTAATTCTATATTGTATAATAGTCATTTGACCACTCATAATAATTTCTCCAACAAAGAGAAATTCAAATAATTCTTCAAAGAGAATCTAAAAGATTAAACTTGAAAATTTCTCAACTCAAATGAGGAGAAATTAACATAATTCTGTAAAGAGAATTCAAGAAAACACTTGGAAAATTCAACGAGTAAGAAGAAATGGGAAGAAGATGGCGCTTCGACAATTCGAAAGACGCAGAGTTATGAGAGTGAAGAATGATAAACTAATAAAATAGTTTTGGGTGTGTTTTGGAATGAAACATGTGCACTCCTTATATAGTGAAGTAAGGTAGTTAATATTTCTCGCATAAGTAATGTGAGACTAAATAATTTTTTTTCAACTTAAAAATCATTTTAACAATGAAATTTGAAAAATTTTTAAATTCAACATATTAGAAAATAGACATGTTGCAACACAAAATATTAGGCTTGCTTGCAAGTAATGAATTGTTGTATGGAGATTGACCAAAAAGTATTGGAATACTACGGGAGGAACGTGGATTTGCAGCAAAAATAGGAAATGTGATCCAGTTGGGCAGCGAGTGGTCTAATCCTGTTGTGGTTGGAATACAGCTGGGGGATAACGTGTCAATTGGGTTGGAAATGATATCTATCCGTTGAGAATCCAATGGTTCAGTGGGAGCAGCACTTTGCATGTGTGGCTCTGGGGAGTCGTGCGTGTGGGGAAATAAATTCTTGGAACACGCTACGTCAGTTCCAAGACAACCTCAGATGGGTTTATAAGTACTTCAGTTGGGAAAGCATAAGGGTTTACTCTTTCACTTTGTGCTTGTACTTTCTCTCTTACTTTCTCTCTTACGCTTTGTCTTTGTACGTTCTCTCTTTCACACTGAGTGAGTACTTTTTCTGTTTCCACAAAAACACTTATTGTGTTCCTCTGGCGCCGATCGTTCTTCTCCCTTTCTCCGTAACAACTACCAATTTGTTATTTCCGAGTTTAGTGTTTCTGGGTGCATGAAGGGTTCTTGGTCTGTGTTATTCATGATAGCTGTTTGTTGTTGTTGATCAGGCGCCGTATCAAATGGAAAGTTGATGAAATCAGATGAAGGGTTCGAACCCCTGTAGCGGCGTAATTGGGAGACATGGATAACCCGATGGATCTTTGAAGAGGCATTGATGTCCAGCTCGTACGCAACCGTGCCGCTTCGGTGGAGAACGATGAAAGGTCCAAAGTGTCGTGGTGACAGCTTTTGGGATCTTCGTTGTTGCACCGAAATTTGCCGATATGGTTTCAGGTGAAGCAGAACTATGTCTCCAACTTCAAAGGTACAATCAACTCTTTTTTTGTTAGCCTGTTCTACCTGTCTGTTTCTCGTCAGATTTTCCTTTTAAGTATCCAGAATTTCTTGGACTACACCAAAGTATCCTCTGCAAACATATTAATCGATCACATATGACCCAAATCACTGAGTGGCCAAAAGATGAGGGTAAATGAGTGATAAAATCCGTAGTTAATTCATCCCATACTTGTTTCGGAATTTCCAGTGGCTGAAGTAATCCTTGTTTCTTCTTTGGCAGGTACTTGTTGCATTGGCAGACAAAACAACACTGAATAAAAACCTTGATGTCTTTGTAGATACTTGGCCAGTTTAATGATGATAAGATTCTAATAAGTGTTGGTTGAACTCCGTAGTGACTAGTTGTGACTGAGCTCTAGGATTGGAGGTATGTAAATCTTATCTTTGTAGAACATGATGTTGTCTTTGAATGATAACATGACTTGCATATGTGGATCTGGGTTGTATTTGGCTACAAAGTCTTGACCTTGTTTATCTGTTGTGTAGTGGTTTCTGAGTTCAGCTAGAATCATAGGAACCGGCGAAGAGATGGTAAGGAACATAGCTTCGTCTTCTGTGTGTCTACGACTGAGAGCGTCTACAACTTGATTGCTTTTACTAGGTTTGTAAGAAATATCAAAACTGAACCCCTGTAACTTGGATGCCCATTTTTGTTGTTCTGGTGTTTGGATGGTTTGGACTAGAAAAATTTTTAAACTCTTTTGATCAGTAAAAATATGGAAATGTCTGCCAATCAAGATGACAAAAATAGACAGACGAAACTTGCATATGGGTGCACCAATGGTCACAGCAGAAGCATCTCTTTCAAGGGTGAAGACCTTTGAGAAGTCTGGAAGAGCTAACACAAGAGTTTCCTTCATTTTTTTTCTTTAAAGTTATAAATGATGTATCCGCTTTTGTACTCCATGTAAACTTATTGAAACATAATAAATCGGTGAGCGGAGAATGAGAGGCGTAATGACGAACAAAACATTGGTAAAAATCGGTGAGGCCTAAAAAATCTCTGAGTCATGAGTGAACATGGCCTTGGCCAATCAAAAACTGCTTGAACCTTAGATGCATCGGGGGTTATGCCATTAGATGAGATAATATGACCTAAATAATAACTGCCATTAGATGAGATAATATGACCTAATTAATCAACACTTGAAAGAGACAACACACATTTGGAAACTGACGCACATGTTTAGGTAAATAAGGACTTAAGGATGTCATAAAAAAAACTAAAACGAACAGTCGTAGATAAGGATGTAATAGATCATTCATAGCGGCTTTTGGTCGATGGGCATAACTAAAAACTTATAGTGCCCATCAAAGGTTCTGAATGTTGTCTTATCAGTGTATTCTTGTGTAACTCTAATTTGGTGGTAGTCATACCTGAGGTCAATCTTTATAAACAAAATGCAGAATCTAACTCATCAAAGAGTTCAACCAAGGTTGGTACAGGAAATTGACAGGTTCCATCTTTTTTGTGCACTAGTAAAAAAGGGGAAGAATAAGGGCTTTTGCTAGGTTTAATGAAGCCCTTCTGAAGCATATCATTTATGGTGATGGTCATGGCTTCATTTTGGGAGACAATAAGGCTTAACATTTATGATGGTCATGATAGCGGGATGGGGCTAGGCCTTTATGTTGTTGGAAAATGGATGAATTGAACAGTAGGACAAATTTAATTTTTGGGGGGTAAGGTGTGTGAGATGGATGTAATCTCATTATTGGATTGGGTTTTGGGATTTTTAGGCTTAGTTTCGGTTGGTTGGTACAGTAGGAGTTATGGAAGCAATAAAATTTGTGTGAAGTAGGTGGCAGAGTTGGTTGTAGATAGATTGAGTTAGAGTTGTTTTGGGTGACGAGTGATTGTAGCCTCTATTTGATTGAGTATGAATGAGATTTTTGGAATAGGATTTTAATGCTTTATTAGGAGAATTCGCCATGATTTTATGAGGAATCAGAGTGCTAATTCGTAGTCTGCAATTTGGTTGGTGTTTTTTATAAGATTACATAGAATTGATTTTGAATTATCTCTTCCTCCCTCACGATATTCGTTCTTCTACCTTCACAATCCCTCTTTTCAATTTCTTTTCAAACAAAACCGACACCCATAAATCTCTTACACAAACTCATTTAATCAAACATGTCTTAATTAAAATCACATGAATAAAAAGTAAAATGGAAAACAAATCGGAGGATGTTAACGGAGAATGAATTTGTGAACTTGTACAAGGTACCCTTATGTTAAATTTTAAATCTTGCATCACAAGTTGTTCATTCAATTAGTCAGATGATTAAAAATCAACTATATTGGATAAAAAGTCAATTGTGGTTAACATACAGTTAAAACTCAATATTATTGGTCAACATCAATATTTTGAAGTCACATTCATCATTATGATCAAGGGTTGATCATGATTTATCAAGAAAACTCAAGATTCACCAAAAGTCAAAAGTTACTAAATTAGGATTTTCTTAAGGAGAAGTCAATTGAACTTTGACCAAACACAACTTTAACATGCTTCATTAGATTTTTCTCAACCAAAGCTCACTTCAAAGGAAATTCAATTCTCTATAACTTTGCCTCTCTAAGCTCAAGTAAAAAAAATGCTACATTTGAGAGATATGGGCTAAAATATTATATAGGTCATTTCTAAAGTCAATAAATAAAAAACCTTTTGTCAAGGCAACTTACATCAAGATAAAATATTCAAATACAAAAATGACCAACATAGAGATTGCAGGAGACATCTTAAGCTTTCCAAAAAGTCTAGGATCACTTTCAAATGATACAAATTGAGAGAGTTATGATTTGTGCAAGAAATTTTGAGAAAATCCATGAAACCTAAAGTGACCAAACATGAACTTTTGGGCTAGTGGGCTTCTGTTTCACGGTCCATGCGTGTTATAAGACTCAATATGAACTTTTGGACTTATTTATACACCCCTTAGATTTTTATTCTATTTATCTTTGATTTTATTTATTTAAAATTCAAAATAAATTAGATAAAATAAGAGGCTTTCTTACAAAGGTCCAAGCCCAATCCCTTTTGACCTAATTCCTCTCTATATATTCTCACTATTTCATACAGAAAAGCCACGAAAACCTCACAAGATCACCCTTCCAAAATTCCAAAAAATATCAAAACTATGGCAAATCGAAACCCTACCTTACAACCTCCCTCAAGGCCATACTTGTCCCATTCACTTCTAGAAGTACTATATGGTAAGATTTGCTCGGTTGTGATGATCCAAAGGGCATAAAACCAGTGTGCATGCATAGCCGAATTCGTTTTTTCATAAAATTCATGTTGTCGTTTTCATTTTGTTTCAATGTATACTAACCTTATTAATATGCTCCTGAGATGTTAATGTGTAGGATTGAACCATCGTATGGCCCCCATGATGACTTAATCGCGTTTGGCCATGTTTGTACCGTTTGAGTTTGTTCACGTTGTATCTCACAATACAACAAGATTTGTTTAATTGTTTTCACAATGTCACCAGATGACTCAGCCACCCCAGTGGCAAGGAAGCGTGCGTTAAGGTATTTGTGTACAAGGGTGTGGTTCGATCTTGTCTTTTGACATTTTATTTTTCATATTTTCCAATTCTTGCAGGTTCATTACATATTGCACTGATTCCATTCTTCTAACACAGGCATGCACCTAGTGTAGTGGCAAAGCGTGTTGAAAAAAGGGTTAAGGGCTTGGATTCAACACCCACTCCTGGCGTTTTTATATTTTCTCTATTTTCTAACCTTGTTTGTCATTTTCTCTTAAACCCTATTATTTGGAAAATTTAACCTAATTTTATTCACTTAACATAAAAAATAAAACCTTTTATTATAAACCCTAATTAATTAGGTTTTTAGGATTTCAACTTTTTTAATTAATTTTTTTTATTAATTAAAATTAATTAGGTTTTTAGGGTTACTTGATTATCATTCTTTTCCTAAAAAAATCACTAAAAAATATTTATTTTAGTTTCTTCTTATTTTATTTTCTTAGATAAATTGTATAGGTTTCGCAATTGTAATAGCCTAGATTTCCTGCTTTCTTTTTCATTATTATGTACCTGTCTCCCGAGATGTAATAGTTAGGTTTATTTTTCGCACCTCTATTATGTATCTATCCCAAAGCCACGTAATAGCGTAGGAATTTTACTTTGCGCACTTTACTGTTTTTATTCTTGCTATTACTGTTTAGTAACTAGGGTTTGTATGGAAAGATAAAAAAGAACGATAGAAAACCCTAAATTCAAAGATAAATAAATGAAATAAACACACTCGCACACTTGCACCTCTAGGGTAGTCTCTCTTGTTGCATTCAGAATAAAACGATCATGTCCCTCAAAAGTAGGGATCCTTTAGAAAAGTCTCTCGAATAAAATATCATATTCCATCGATGACCCTTTCGATGTTAGTCCCTTACAAAATTGTTAAAGTGTCATTACAAGTTGCCTTTGATGATCATACGATGATCCTTCACCTGTCCCTTCATATCTAATAGATAAGGTTTTTTATTAATTAATGGTACAAATATCACTGTCTAAAGGAGAAGGAAAAGTACAAGAACGATCTTGAGTGGGTAGAACTGTTAATCGCTTGCTCACAAATCTTTAATAAAAATATTTTACACAAACACTTTTAAAGATATTTTCAAAACAATTTGTACGCATTCTTGAGGACCGATACAAGAATCATTACAAAGTTTCGCCTTACATTAGAAAATTGTAAAATATTTTCAAAATACACTCAAAGCAATTTTCAAAGTG